TTTTCCTGCTCTCTAGCAATATTCTGTCGTCTGCTTTCGTCTCCTCTTTCTGCCCCCACCCCTCACCTCCTTTGCCCCTTCCTCTGGGCTCCTGACTCTTTCTGCAGCCTTTCTACTGCTACTCCTTGACTCCTTCTTACAGCTGTCTATCTGCCACACCCCTGATCTTCTGGTAGAAAAGATCTACACCTAGCCTTCTCGGACAAGGGCGAAAAATCTCGGATGGCCCGTGTGCAAGTTGCGCACGTTAAACATCCCCTGGTGGTCTAAAAATCGATTGGAGTAGGCTTCGGCTGCCACCCGGGCAAAATTCAAAATTTCCTACCAACTTAAAGTATTAGGTGTGTCCCGCGCGCTAATATGACATAATGCAGTTGCGAGCGCCGTAAAACACTTACATAAAAAAAAAAAAAGAGCTAATACCCAGTACACACTGTCGGTCAAATTCAGTCAAATTTGAGAACGGGCCAACTTTGGGTACATTATTTTGATCTCATCTTTGCACAGTGGCGGTACCAAAACCAATTACGTTTGACCGAGGCGTAGTTATTGCTGGTTGAAAACTGATTTCATAGCGTGGGCCTGTTGTTTGAAGTAGTTTTGGGAAAGTAACACCAATCCAAAATTGTAAATATACTGGATCATCGTCGTCGAAAAATCATCCAACAAAAACTACCATCCGTTGAATGTCCTGTCAACAGCAAAAACGCGCATAGAACTCATATGGCTCGATTTCTCTGACGTTGAGTTATATAATATATCTTTCTTGAGAGACAATGATCAGAATAATATGACTGCAAATGTAAAGGTTTTTTTTGGGTAAAACTGACCTAAACTTTGTTTTCAAAAATATTTAAAATAATAAACAAAGGATAGAAAATATCCGTCATGTGGTCATGATAAAACTCCAATTTTCTGTTATTTAAACTTTGGTGCTGTTAACACTGATAGTTCAAGCACCAAAATGTTGTTTTCATATTTATAACAAGGCCTACTTTTTGGAGCAGATCTAGTATTATTCTGGTGAAAATAAAAGTGTTAAGACTCAAAGTACGGTATGAGATTTTTTAATGCAAACAAAAAGTGGCACCTTTTTCTTTTTGATTGCCAGTATATTTATTATTATTTCTTGAGATCGCCAGTATTTTATAAGTGTTGATTACTACTAGTATATCGTGTCCTTTAACCGTCAGTATATTATGTCCTTTGACGGTTATTATGTTAAGTCCTATAATAACCAGTAAAGTATTTTGTCTGCAGCATGAATTCATAAACAAATACCATAGACGTCTACAAGATTTTGATCTGCTTTGCTGGCTCATGTGTTAATTTCTCGTGTGTATAAGGTATGTACGAGTCTACATAAATGCCCACGTGAGTATGAATATAAACGAATGTGTGTTCGTGCGTGCGTGCATGCGTGCGCATGCATGTGTGTGTGTGTGTGTGTGTGTGTGTGTGTGTGTGTGTG